GGCAACAACGGATATAATCCGCCTTATCCGTTCATCGCATCGGAAACAAAAAAGCGAAAGAATTTGAAACGATGTCTTTACTACAATGTATAATTTTATTCAGTTGTATTTAGTCAATGTGTCAGCCGGTAACGCGTGAGTGAATAGTGGTGTTTGTTGCGTGGCTCAAACGAAATAAAAAATGGCACATGTTTACGAAAATGCTGAATGTAGTACAAAGGGCTCGTGAATCAGGTGACTTAAGACCTCACGTGGGAGGGCATGCCGGTGCTCCAAGACCGCACGATCAAATACAGGTCCGCACTGAAATACTTGTCAGGAGGATACTTTATAAAACAAGGTAACATTTTTTTTTATTTTTACACACATATTTTGATTTATCTTCCTTCTACAATCATTATCTGAAAATTAATGATTCAACTTCAAAGTTGTCATAGTCATAGGGACGGCCGGGAGATGGTAGCAGAGTAAGTAGAGCAGAGTGGAGTATAGTTCAGTCACTGGCGCGACATACGAATTAGTCAGACATAAATCGTGGTGTACGTAAATGTTCTATCTACTCAAGTTAAATAAATTAGTGCATATGTTTTTGTGAAAAATCAAAATAAGTGACTTTTAAAATACTGGGAGAGTACAGCTTAGATTTTTATTACGTTACTAATATTCCGTTTGACCAAAGAAATAATGCTATTGATTATTACACGAGCAGATATGTTACCAGCCACCCCTACGTTAGGGTCACCGCGACGAACTACAATGCGTCAAAGACTTTTAACGGAAATATTTTTTTCAGTATTCACGCGACGGCAGTTGCATGAACGACGCGAAGCTACGGCGACGTAGATGAGGATTCTAAAGCGACAATTGTTGCTAATTTAGCCAAAGAAAGTCCATCAGCCCAAGGCAAACGCTATATCCCATCGAAAGAAGAACTTTCTGTCTCAGTCTCACAAAACTATGCAACCAATAATGCGTGTAGTTTAGTTGTGTGATTCCTCCATAGATGGACGTTCACAACGATCCTAGTGAGCAAACGTGGAATGACTGTTTGCGCACTAAAAACTACCTAGTCTGCAAGTTGACATCATATAGGTTTTTTTTTGACGTTTTATAGGTTTGTTACATGATACCGGTGCCGATATAATATGCCGATTGTTAAATTAAGACAGCATAAACTGCGAATCTGTCTAGTTTCGATAGATTTTATACCTCAGATGGAGGTTAGTTGCTATGTTTTCTTTCGCTGTCCTGTCCTGAGGCCAAGCCTAGACCATGCTGATAAGTTGCCAAAAAATACAATACATCCAGGTATCTCCTGACTGTAAAAAGAAAACTTTGAAAAGAAAATTCAGTAAATAATGTTATTTCAATGATAAATATCTAAAAAATATAAGATACAAATAAAGCAATGTTTTACTTGTCGAATTAGAATTAGGTTTTGAGATCCATACATGGTTTCCCTATTAACTTTCAAAGTCAAAGTTTTATTTTTTGAGTTGTTAGTCAAATGGAAAGAAAATAGAAGGTATGCGTATCTCAATTCGAACACGCTATAAAGGAAGCTAAGTAAGAAATGACGTTCAAGAGAACTAGGCATCATATAATTGTGAATGAACATGTGTGAACTAGTGACACACTATTGCTACAAGGTCACCGGGAAAACAACCCAGAAAATGACACGTGATTGGGCATATATGATTCGACAAATTAACCACCCGAAAGCAACAGATCAAGTGCTATATTAACATCATAATTAAATACGCAATTATACAAATCAAGTGATCCTGCGAACAATTGAAACCGAAACAATAGAACATTGCGATGCTCGAAGATGAGGTCGCGCAGCATCCGCAGGCGATTGTCAATGTGCGAGTCCCGGTAGGCCGAGAAAAACAACTTACCGGCCAGGTTTGCTGCATAAAAGGTGGCGTAACAGCGCATAGATCGTCGATTCCCTGGCGTGCCGTGTGTGGAAATTGCGAGGGAAAGTGGGAAATCGGTGAAAAGCGGAGCGTTTCGAGGCGCGAACGCGATTGAGCGATCGACGCCGACGCTTCAAGGGAAGAATACTGGCGAGCCGCTGCCGCTCCGTCGGTCGTCAGGCGGCGCGCCGCCGCGGCGCTGGGCGTCCACAAGGGGTGAGGGCGCCGCGCACAGGGCCGGCACGGGTATTATGCAAATAACCTATAAAACGCCAAAAAAAACCCTATAAAATGTCATCTTGCAGACTAGAGGGTTTTTAGGTTGAAAACCGTCATTCCACGTTTGCTCACTAGGATCGTTGTGAGCGTCCATCTATGGAGGAATAGGTCAACTACACGCATTGTTGGTTGCATATGTTTTGTGAAGCCGAGTAGCCACCTCTGAGAAAAAACTTGGTTAAATATCAAGATCGCATCTGGATGATTGTGTTTATTGCTCTGCATGTGTATAAAGTGAATGATATTTGCTGTGTGAGAAAATCATTTCGGGTTATTTATATGTTGTCTTTTCTGAAGACAAAGTTATATATTACGATTTTTTACGTTTCTTTGTGATTTCAAAAACTGTGAAGAGTGTTACGGGAAATCAGCACCGCGCCCGCGCTGTCTGTAATTACTGCCAGCATGTATATGACATAATTCGACAGTGTACAGTGAATATAATAATTTATCATCTCTCATTTTTGAAATTCAATAAATTTGCATATATAATTACCAGAAAGGAGAAGAAAAAGTGGATGCGCAACCAATTTCTAGCTTTAAATCTCAAGTAAGTGTATTTGAGACATGAATCATCAACACATATTATTAGTACAGAAATCCTCACAATGCACCTATGCATTGCCGTTGCCTCCGGTAATGCCATCTCTGAAGCAGATTTTACATTACATCAGAGCCAAATATTGATAACTGAAGTCTCATGACGTTTAGGCAACACGTACAACTTCTAAACGAGCTCTCTATTGAGCTCAATACGGTTCTGTTGAGTACCAAATCAATTTTATGTTCTATGATGTTAGGGTAAAGACAGACATAGCGTTTATCGACTTGTGTAATATATTATTAATATACTACAACTATTTAAAACTGTAATGACTCATACGCGTGATCAACACGTGATCAGAACTCGATCCCGGCTTCCTTCCAGTACAGCCGTATAGCGTACGACATATGTCGTTTCTGTGGCTTTGCGGTGGTCAACAGCACAGACAGAGATGGAAATAATGGCTGATTGTTCTCCGCAGGCAGAACCAATGAAATCAAAGACGCGCCTCGACCGGCAGACTCATAGGCGTCGGCAACGCATTGGAACGTGTTTCGTTGAGCGATCGCATATTGCGTGTTTTTATTAGAATTGTTGTGTGATTGTTATTGTTGTGGTTACTGTTTTGGTTATACTTAACCATGGAGAGTACAAATGGCACGAGTGGAAGTACTGAAAGCCAGGGAACAAGTAGACGGCTTCGTAAAGCACTGAAGAGGGACGCGAAAGAAATCGTGCTCAACGTGTTCAATTATCCGAACAGAACTATGTCGCAGGGAGATGCACACGCGCGTTGTGAAAGTATGACAGGCGTTCCAGAGTGGACCATTCGCAGGGTGGTGCATGAAAAGAAGAAAACTGGAGCTTTCACTGATCCAAAGTTTAATTTGAAGGGACGAAAGGCCGTTAAATTGGATGACGATAGCAAAATGGCGTTAAGGCGAACCGTACATTCATTCTTCTTTAGGAATGAGATACCAACCCTCAAGGCTGTACATGCAGCGATCAAGGAAAATGAAATTATACCCCAAATGAGCGTCGAGGTAATGAGGAAATCCCTGCACGAAATTCATTTTCGTTACGAAACGCGTAATCGGAAGTCAGTATTGATAGAGAGACCTGAAATAGTCACCTGGCGTCGAAAATACCTACGCGAAATGATTGAATATAGGCGACAAAGCAGAAAAATCTATTATTTGGACGAGACATGGGTAAATGCAGGTCACACAGTTAAAAAACCTGGATAGACAAAGACGTAGTGAGTAACCGACAGGCAAGCATTGAAGGTTTGTCAACAGGTCGTCGTGGACCGTCAGGGAAAGGTCAAAGATTGATCGTAACTCATATTGGTAGCGATAGTGGCTTTTTAGAAGAGTGTGACTTGATTTTCGTCTCTAAGAAAGGAGGTGATTACCATGACGAAATGAATGCCAGCTGCTTCGAGAGCTGGTTTCAAGGGGTGCTTCAGCGAGTTGAGCCCAACTCTGTGATCGTCATGGATAATGCTTCCTACCATAGTCGTCGAGCCGAACGTGTACCGACTATGGGATCTCGAAAAAGTGACATGCAGCAATGGTTGCGCGAAAAAGGAATCCCGTTTGACGATTCATGTGTGAAAGCGGAATTGTATGAAAAAATTAAACAGCACAAACCTGCGAACATTAGTTACGTGACTGATGAGATGGCCCGTCAATGTGGTGTCACTGTGCTGCGGTTACCGCCCTACCACTGTGAACTGAACCCAATAGAGCTCATCTGGGCTCAAGTGAAGGGTTATATTGCGCGCCATAACACAACCTTCAAATTACCAGACGTTAAGGTTTTACTTGAGACTTCCATACAGCTAGTAACGCCCGAAGCTTGGCAGAATGCTATCCGTCATGTTGTGAAGGAAGAAACAAAAATGTGGCAGCTTGACCACCACATCGACACCATCATAGAGCCAGTTATAGTCAATTTCAACGAGGAAAGCGATAGCGACAGTTTATTACTGTCAGATGTAAGTGGAAGCGACGATGAATAAAGGTAATTCCCAAATTTTTGACTTACAATATGTTTCAAACCACTCTAGTTCACCCATGTTAAACATTCATACCCCGCCTATGAACAGCCGACTACTGGTAGTTAAGTGATGTTCACGTGAACATCGATGAGTCATTACAGTTTAAGATAGTTAAAACGTTACGTTAAAACTGGTACGTCTGTCGTTACCCTTACATTCTCGCTACATACAATTCAGTGTTCTGTGCTTTGCTGTCGGATTGTCATTCCGGTGATCGGATGTCAAAATTTTTTAAAGTACTTTTCAATTTTCATCATTTCATCCAGTTATTTTAAAATATTGTACACAAACAAAGCCATTGTTTGCAAGCAATAACAGATTGTGACTAATAATTTCATTTCAGAGCAGTAATTAGGTAAAAATGAATATATTTCTTTTAGTTTTGTCGTATTTTTTGTACGTTTCCGCATCAGCTCAGGAGCAGGAAGAAGTTCATACAATAAAATACACTAATATTAACTTTTCTGACGAAATAGCCAAGAAAAATCATTTTGTTATGTTCTACGCACCATGGTAAGTAAAAATGTACATGTAATTTTCCAAATACTGATTTAACAATGTACACATGAAAAATTTACATAATTCAAATATGGATTAAATCGCACGTAGTGAGATAACACACTTAAAACCAAGGTACTTATACAGTATTTACTTTGTCATTAGTAGCCTGATTTTAAACTATCTTTTTGTTTCATGAAAACTTAGGGATTTGATTAATTAATAATTCCATAACAGTGTTCTGTAATAAATCATGTTTTGAAATATTTATGAATCGAACTGATGCACTGTATTAAACAATTACCAGTTGTAAATAAGTGCCTAAAGTTTTAAGTCATATAGTATCAGATAGGTGACACCCTCATTCTCCATACACTAAGTAAACTGATTTCTGACAATTGTCAAGACTCTTGACAGCATAGTAGCGATAATGTTTGCAATTTCTTCCTGGATATTGGTCATGAAATCTTGTAGGGTCCTTAGAGTGTTCACATAAATGGTTTTCTGTCATTGGTCCCACAGACAAAGCCAGAACAAGTTTGTTTTACATTGACCTTCATTTAGGGCTCATCACAAAGTGGGAAGAGTCTGATTAGATGATGTCCGATTTTCCAGGTGCGTGCATTGTCAAAAGTTTTCACCTCAATGGGAACAATTGGCCGAAATGCTTAATGAAGATGACAGTGACATTAAAATAGCCAAGGTGGACTGCTCGACAGATAGTAAAGTATGCCTCAAAGAAGATATCACAGGCTATCCGACTCTAAAGTTTTACAAACTCGGCGACAGTAATGGCATCAAGTTCAGGGGCACACGGGATCTGCCATCACTTACTAATTTTATAAATGAACAGTTACGGGAGGTATGATTACTATACTACAACTATTTAAAACTGTAATGACTCATACGCGTGATCAACACGTGATCAGAGCTCGATCCCTGCTTCCTTCCAGTACAGCCGTATAGCGTACGACATATGTCGTTTCTGTGGCTTTGCGGTGGTCAACAGCACAGACAGAGATGGAAATAATGGCTGATTGTTCTCCGCCGGTAGAACCAATGAAATCAAAGACGCGCCTCGACCGGCAGACTCATAGGCGTCGGCAACGCATTGGAACGTGTTTCGTTGAGCGATCGCATATTGTGTGTTTTTATAAGAATTGTTGTGTGATTGTTATTGTTGTGGTTTCTGTGGTTACTGTTTTGGTTATACTTAACCATGGAGAGTACAAATGGCACGAGTGGAAGTACTGAAAGCCAGGGAACAAGTAGACGGCTTCGTAAAGCACTGAAGAGGGACGCGAAAGAAATAGTGCTCAACGTGTTCAATTATCTGAACAGAACTATGTCGCAGGGAGATGCACTCGCGCGTTGTGAAAGTATGACAGGCGTTCCAGAGTGGACCATTCGCAGGGTGGTGCATGAAAAGAAGAAAACTGGAGCTACTACTGATCCAAAGTTTAAGTTGAAGGGACGAAAGGCCGTTAAATTGGATGACGACAGCAAAATGGCGTTAAGGCGAACCGTACATTCATTCTTCTTTAGGAATGAGATACCAACCCTCAAGGCTGTACATGCAGCGATCAAGGAAAATGAAATTATACCCCAAATGAGCGTCGAGGTAATGAGGAAATCCCTGCACGAAATTAATTTTCGTTACGAAACGCGTAATCGGAAGTCAGTATTGATAGAGAGACCTGAAATAGTTGCCTGGCGTCGAAAATACCTACGCGAAATGATTGAATATAGGCGACAAAGCACAAAAATCTATTATTTGGACGAGACATGGGTAAATGCAGGTCACACAGTTAAAAAAACCTGGATAGACAAAAACGTAGTGAGTAACCGACAAGCAAGCATTGAAGGTTTGTCAACAGGTCTTCGTGGACCGTCAGGGAAAGGTCAAAGATTGATCGTAACTCATATTGGTAGCGATACTGGCTTTTTAGAAGAGTGTGACTTGATTTTCGTCTCTAAGAAAGGAGGTGATTACCATGACGAAATGAATGCCAGCTGCTTCGAGAGCTGATTTCAAGGGGTGCTTCAGCGAGTTGAGCCAAACTCTGTGATCGTCATGGATAATGCTTCTTACCATGTCGTCGAGCCGAACGTGTACCGACTATGGGATCTCGAAAAAGTGACATGCAGCAATGGTTGTGCGAAAAAGGAATCCCGTTTGACGATTCATGTGTGAAAGCAGAATTGTATGAAAAAATTAAACAGCACAAACCTGCGAACATTAGTTACGTGACTGATGAGATGGCCCGTCAATGTGGTGTCACTGTGCTGCGGTTACCGCCCTACCACTGTGAACTGAACCCAATAGAGCTCATCTGGGCTCAAGTGAAGGGTTATATTGCGCGCCATAACACAACCTTCAAATTACCAGACGTTAAGGTTTTACTTGAGACTTCCATACAGCTAGTAACGCCCGAAGCTTGGCAGAATGCTATCCGTCATGTTGTGAAGGAAGAATCAAAAATGTGGCAGCTTGACCACCACATCGGCACCATCATAGAGCCAGTTATAGTCAATTTCAACGAGGAAAGCGATAGCGACAGTTTATTACTGTCAGATGTAAGTGGAAGCGACGATGAATAAAGGTAATTCCCAAATTTTTAACTTACAATATGTTTCAAACCCATGTTAAACATTCATACCCCGCCTATGAACAGCCGACTACTGGTAGTTAAGTGATGTTCACGTGAACATCGATGAGTCATTACAGTTTTGTAGAGTTATAGTATATTAATTTTTGATATTCGTTTAACGTTTTATTGATGGAGATTTACTAAACAATTTATGTTTTTAAGGGTGACGAAAAAGATCAGGAATCAGAAGAGGTTCCCCAAGTAATGAAGCACGGGTTAGTTGAGTTGACAGAGAAAACATTTGAAAGTCATGTTGCTACTGGCAATCATTTTGTAAAGTTCTATGCTCCTTGGTGCGGTTACTGCCAGGTAAGTGGATCATATCTACAATAATGAAAATATAAAATGTAATAACTATGTTTTCATTGATAGAAATTAGCGCCGACCTGGGAGGAGTTGGCGCGCTCCTATCAGGATAACAATGACGTCACTATAGCCAAAGTAGATTGCACCCAAGAAAGAAAAATCTGTGATAAATTTGAAGTTAAAGGATATCCCACTTTGTTATGGATTGAAAACGGGAAGAAGGTATGAATGACCATTCGAAAATATAGTTTTTTCCATATACCAAATAACGTTGAAATTTGTTTTTACATGATATGGAACCGGTATTTTTTTTACGTTCAAGATTGAAAAATATAAGGGTGAAAGACAACACGATAATCTGAAAGCGTTTGTAGAACAAATGAAGCAGCCTGATGGTGTTACCAGAGAATCGGAAGAGGTCACAGATGTTCCGCCAGAAACGATTTCTGTCGGAGAACTGACGGCAAATACCTTCAAACTAGGTATTGAGTCAGGTAAATATCATGGTTTGGATAAATATAATGATAAATGATATACAGAAAACGCTCAGACAGGTCGATTTTGTTTTCGAGGGAGACACAAGTTTGGCAAAAAATCACGTTAACACGTGGAGCCCCCTAGGCGGGGGTGACACCAACCCTAAAATCTTAAATGGAAAGGGGGTCGAGTGATACCTTATTTTAAAGGTCTTTCAATTCCCTTTATAATGATGTAAAATACATGAGCTTCAGTTCAGTAGTTTTAAAGATTTATTGATTTAAAGCTTAAAGTAGACTTTAATAGGTACATCAGATTAGTTTGTACTACTTTCAGAAGAAAGTTGACTAAAAGAATTTACTTAATAAGTAAATGCTTTTCTTCACTACGCCCATGGTTTGTTTATCATTTTGTTGCTGAAAATAGCTATTGGAGCGTTTTTTGTGGCAAAAAACTTATTTCTCGAAGAAAGATAAGGAAATATCTCGTACTTATTTTAAATAGGAATTTAGTACATAGTTTGCGATTAATTTGACCAAACTTTGTTGCTAAAATAACTTGTAACGCTTTATTACATAAATTCACCGTGGTATATTCCACAGAAGAAAGAGTTGAAATTATCGATATATTTTTCGGAAATAATCAGTGCGCTAATAGAACAGAAATATTTAATGAGCTACATGAGAACCGTAACGTGCATCGAAAATATGTTCTAGAACTTGTAGCTAAATTTCGGGAAACTGGCTCAGTCGCCAATAAAAAACGCAACATTGAAAATCCCATAAGGAACGAAGCAATAGGAGTGGGGGTTTTAGGGCAGTTTTATGTAGATCCTACGTTAAGTACTCGCAAATTGGAGACTGTGTGTGGTGTTAGTCGACGTACTGTCCAACGGGTTCTAAAGGCCCATAGTTTTCATCAGTATAAAATTCACCTGGTACAAGAACGATTTTGATCGGCGATTACAATTTTGTGAAGATATGAGTGAACAAATTATAAACGATTAACATTTTCTATTCAACACTTGCTTTTCCGACGAATGGTCCTTTTTCTTAAATGGCGTAGTAAATCGTCACAACTGCCGATATTGGTCCGATTCTAATCCTAGATTTTATCATGAGCTTCATACACAGCAGCCACAAAAATTAAATTTTTGGCGATCATTTAGTTGGTCCTTTTTTCTTAACTAGAAATTTGACCGGTGAAATGTGTTTGGAATTACTGGAAGACGCCATAGATCCTGCATTAACAGCCATAATTGAAAATCAGAATGATCGGCGGTACATTGCGAATAGGTTGATGTTCCAACAGGCACCACATTACGCCTTACGTGTTCGACAATATTTAGATCAGACGTGTCGATCGATGGATCGGTAGAAGAGGTGCAATTGAATGGCCACCAAGATCGCCAGATTTATCACCTTTGGATTTCTCGCCTTAATCATGCCATCAAGATGAAAGTGAGCTTCATCACGCATGAACAACATGAGGTTCTCATTTTGCTCGTACCACTCTCGCTCGAATGGGCGGAGAGTACTACCCATTTCAAAAACATCCGTCCTTTGTGCCGCACCCTGTATCAATAATAAAAGTCAAACCTGACCGCAAAGAGCTTAATAAAGATTATCACTGATCAACAGCCAAAAAATATCCTAAATAAAATCAACAAAATATCACTATTTTTAATGTGCTAAAACCGGAATGAAACTTATTTTTTCAATATTAGTTCAAGTTTTAGAGATACGGTAATTATATGTGTTCCTGCTGTGACAGTGTTAATATACTGTAATTCACAAGAATGCACGTGCTACATTTTTATATTCGGCAAGGAAAGATGATGTAATCGGCATGATTGTGTTACGTTATACATACGTGTACATTATATTGTTTTATATTAGCCATTTTTTCCTCAGTTGGCTGACAGCGTTCATGCAAGATGTCTCGAAAGTGTGTAAACAATCCAGATCAGTTTTGTTACATGTGTGGTGATGTGACTTTTGCGTCTCAGAGACGGTCTATTACTCCACTAATAACAAAGGCATATCAGCTTTATTTCGGTTGTAAACTAGGTGATCAAGACAAACAGTGGGCACCCCACATCTGCTGTAATACATGTGCTTCAAGTCTGAGAAGCTGGTTAAATGGCAAAAAATGGTCTATGCGCTTTGCTGTCCCAATGGTTTGGAGAGAGTCTTCAAATCATATTAATGATTGTTCCTTTTACATGGTACCTTGTGTTGGACAAGAAAAAAAAAATCGGTTATTAACTACCCAAACATACCATCTGCGATGAGACCTGTGCCTCACAGTGACGAAAATCCTATTCCAAAACCCCCAGAATCCTACACTTGCGAATCAGAAAACGAATCAGATCATGGCGATCGAGTGATTCGTCAGGAAGAAGATATGCCATCAACGTCAAGAGATCCTGATTTTATACCGAGCACGTCATGCCACCAACCGCACAAAATAACACAGTCAGAATTAAATGATCTTGTAAGAGATTTAGAACTTCCAAAATGTAAGGCAGAGTTACTTGGATCAAGACTGCAGCAGTGGAACTTGTTAGAAGACGATGCTTCGGTATGTGTTTTTCGTAAACGCCACAAAGACTTAGAACCATTTTTGAATATGGAGAATAACTTGGTTTTCAGCAGTAACACTAACGGCTTACTGGCGGCTTTAAATATAAACTATAACCCAGAAGAATGGAGATTGTTTATAGACAGTTCAACATTGAGTTTAAAGACAGTGTTATTGCATATTGGAAATATTTTACCATCTCTTCCTGTAGGGTATGCAGTTCACATGAAAGAATCATATGGAGTACCTATTGACATGCATAAAATACGATGAGCACCAATGGCATATTCGTGGCGATTTGAAAGTTGTTGCACTTTTACTTGGGCTGCAGCTAGGCTACACAAAGTTTTGCTGTTTTTTGTGTGAATGGGACAGTCGGGCAAAGGCACTTCATTACACCAGACAAAACTGGCCTTTTCGTCAATTCGTAGAGCCAGGTCAAAAAAATGTACAGCATATGCCATTAGTAGATTCGAAAAAAATTTTATTACCACCACTGCATATCAAGTTGGGCCTAATGAAAAACTTTGTCAAGGCATTAGATAGAGATGGGTCAGCTTTTCAATACCTGCGTCAGAAATTTCCAAGACTAAGTGACGCAAAGGTTAAAGAAGGTATTTTTGTTGGGCCACAGATTCGAAATATTTTGAAAGATACACAGTTTGAAAACACTTTAAGAGGTATTGAAAAAACTGCTTGGAATGATTTCCGTCTGGTGGTCACTAATTTCTTGGGAAATAGAAAAGCTGACAACTATAAAACCCTTGTCAAAAATATGCTGTCATCGTATCAAAAGATGGGCTGTAATATGTCTCAAGATACATTTCCTACACTCACACCTGGACTTTTTTCCTGACAATTGCGGAGCCGTAAGTGATGAGCACGGCGAACGTTTTCATCAGGATATTTCAACAATGGAAAAAAGGTACCAGGGAAAGTAGAATCCCTCCATGCTTGCAGACTACTGTTGGACTCTTGGTAGAGATGCTCCAGAAACGATCCATAAAAGAACAGCAAAAAGACAGCGCATATAGTGATTCTTATAAGTATATGAATCTTGTTACTTTTTTTAATATATCCTTAAAAATAAAAAGTTTTTTTTCTAAACCGCAACTAATTTTTTTATTTCATTGTCATTTTTGGATTCAGCGCTCCAAAATTAACAAAGAAGAGCACTTTTCCCACAAAATACAATTAAAAAACTAAAATTTGTTGTCCAGTGTTATTAGTATTTTTTCAAAAAAAAAAAATAGCCACTATCAGTAACAGCAACTTTTTTTTGGTAGGATTGAGCTTCGTGAAATTCTTCGCCCCGTGGTGCGGCCACTGCAAGCGACTCTCGCCGATCTGGGACAGCCTAGCGGAAAAATTCGGCAAAACGGACGGAGTACACATATCCAAAGTAGACTGTACGCTCAACGTCAATAAGCAACTGTGCAACGATGAGGGCATCGAGGGTTTCCCGACATTGATTTTGTACAAAGACGGAGCGAAGTTATGGGAATACACCGGTAGCAGGTCTCTAGATGAGTTGTCCGATTTTGTCAAGCACCATTTGGAAAGACACGACGAACTCTAAACGTAGACCGTTTTCTCTTTGGACATATCGCGGGGTCGATGGAGCAGCGGGCGGGCAATATTTTAAATAAGGTATAGGTTATTTCAATATTGAAATTGATATCTTCCGTTTTCTAATGGCTGTCACTTATGTTTCCCATAGGATTTATGTGAAAGAAATCAAATAATGCAGTGTGAATATGGAAGCCACAACTGACACTTTCGCGATAAGGTATAAGCAATGGCTACTCTAGTCAAACGATTTATTGTTACTGTGTTCAAGTTATATGAATTCACTTTGTTTGTCCTTTGAATTTTTTGTGATAAAGCAGTTGCTGTTCTGTGACCGTGCACTTTATTATGCTAACAAAAAACTTGTTTTTGGTGAAAGGCATGAAATTATTGGGCCAAAAGTAAAATTCAGCGACCTGACTGGGCGGTTCATATCTCAGACCGAGCGCATTTTTTTTTCTATCCAGGCATGAAGCTCCGAAAATGTCAAGGTTCTAGCTCGACGAATTTCGGCTGGAGATGCGCTTAAAGTTCGAAGATCCGGAAACAGTGTGCAATTTAAAAGTCATGGACCTTCAAACTTTGAGTGCGTGTCCATGTCTCCATAGTTGCTCAGTAGAAAAGAATTTTGAGCCCTAGCTGAGATGATTCGCCAATCCAGATCGTGGAATTTTTGTTTTGACCCAATTATGAATCTTCCACAATTGTGATTATCTCAAGTGTGTTATTCCAGCATTCCAGCAGAATAGAATGAAAGTTTGGGAATGTTTAACTCCTTAATATTTAGGTAATTTTCGACGTTTCATAGAGAAGTTGAGACCATAACTTGTAGGTTAATTTTCCAGTATTGGTCGACCAAAATAATTATAATATAATTCTTATTAAAATATGTAGTAGATTACTTGATTTCAGTATATTTTGTTAGGCTGATTGGTTATTTTTTGTTATTTGGAAGTACTTGAAATATCTCCAATTTTTTGATATTATATAGAATATTTATTGCATTCCAAATATTTCTATAATCCACCTAGCATATCTTTGAAAAATTTAACCAAATTGTCAAAAGTGTTGGAAAGTCGTAATATTTAGAGTGTCTTCAACCAACTGTAGATTTGGTCAATAAAATTTTCTTCTGGAAAACATTTTTTAGTTATTTACACCTGCAGTGTGTGGAGGAAGTTTTACTCAAGTGTTAAACTCGCCATTTACAAGCAACTCCAGAGCTATCTGAAAATGTTTTGATACGGAAACTACGAAAAAGCGTTTAAAATCCTCAATTTTCTTCGTAACATTGTAACGTCCTCATATAACAAACTGGGTATCAGCGAGACGTCAAAAGATTCAGCAGGCGTCTAGAACTATCGCTTAGGCAACCAGTGTTGCGCGACTGTGCGTGCTTCGAGTTGATAAAATATATTTTGATTTAGAAACTACGAAAAAGCGTATGTTTGACCTCGATTCAACAAAAGACTACAAATTTTATCGTTTGAAATCCTCAATTTTCTTTCTAATATTGTAACGTCCTCATATAACAAACTGGGCATCAGCGAGACGCCAGAAGATTCAGCAGGCGTCTAGAAACATCGCTTAGGCAACCAGAGTTACACGGCTGTGCGTCAGCGATTGCGGCATCATCGAGATGAATCTACTTGCATGAAAGTTCGCGAGTCGGCCCGGAAAACGCTGAAATATTTCTAACCCTAGACTTTGAACAGTAGGAAGGGCATAATGAATAAAACGACAATAAAATATAAAACTCACTATTTTAATCAGTACAATCAATCAATTAAAATGAATAATTACGTCCAAGTGTAAGTCTTAGTTTCACAGTCATACTTCAAACACTCCACGTGCGTGACATACTCCCGGTCCGGGTTACAAAAATGCTTCAGCACTTTCGGTAACAGACCACAATCGGACAAGTTCTCCTTCCCGAACACGACCGTTCCTTTGTTCTGAATGTCGGATCGTCTTTCGTTATTCTGCAGTTTGCTGAAATGTTCCGTCACCGATACGTCGGTGAAAGTGGCCGTCAAACTGTGTTCAGGAGAACTGACGGCGAACAGATTGTGCATCGTGCTAGGTAAAATGGGGCCGGACAGCTCGAGCGAGTAGTAATCGGAATCGTCTAAATGTACCTGGAAGAAAAAATACGTATTCAAAAAGATAGGGTTGTCCAATAGGGACGCAGGAAAGTAAACGTCATTTTGACATAGACGAAAACTTTGTTTTCTGTCACCGACATGTCATTTTGTTAGTTGAATGTTTACCATTGATCGCTATGGAGCCGTATTCGATTGAAGACCGCATTAAAGTTATTCAAGAGCACTACAAAAATGGTGCAAAAATAGAAAACACGTTTCGCGCGCTTCGTGAACATTTCGGTCGCAACAACCGCCCAAACGAAACAACCATCGGTCGTCTGGTGCGTAAATTCGAGGCAACAGGTTCTGTGGCAAATCTGCCAGGCTCTGGCCGGCCAAGGAGCGTTCGCACACCGGAAAATATTGCTGTTGTGAAGGAGAGTGTGAGAGACGATCCGAAACAATCAACAACGCGTCGATCCCAAGAATTGGGCATTTTGAGAACCAGTTTGCTCCGCATTCTCCACAAGGATTTGAATGTACACGCCTACAAGATCCAATTGACGCAAGAGCTGCGTCGGGCCGACCATTTTTCGCGTCGAACGTTCTCAGATTGGCTCCTTGAACACCGCCAAATTGATGCCAATTTGTCATCAAAAATCATGTTCAGCGACGAAGCGCATTTCACTTTGAATGGGACGGTAAACAAGCAAAACTGCCGCATCTGGGCGAACGAAAATCCCCGTGAGTATCAAGAGCAGCCGATGCACCCTCAAAAAGTGACTGTGTGGTGTGCATTGTGGTCAAAAGGCATCATCGGACCTTACTTTTTCGAAAATGCGGCCGGGGACGCCGTTTCCGTCAATTCTGAGCGATATCACGTGATGATAGAGGACTATTTTTTGCCGCAACTTGAAGGAATGGATATGGACGACGTTTATTTCCAACAAGACGGTGCAACATGCCACACAACCAACGTCAATATCCATCGATTGCAGTCCTTCTTCGGTGATCGCGTGATTTCGCGCAGAGGAAATGTGCCATGGCCACCAAGATCGTGCGATTTGACTCCCTTGGACATTTTTTTATGGGGATATTTGAAAAGCAAAGTCTACGACAACAAACCAGCCATCCTCCAAGAACTCAGAAACAACATCATTGCCGAGATAAATGCCATAGAACCGACCATGTTGCAAAATGTCATTGAAAATTTCGACCATCGCGTGGACGTCTGTAAATCCAGTCGTGGTGAACATTTAAGCGATATTATTTTTCATACATAAATGGTATAAATGAACCTTCAAAATAAAGTACCCAACTTGATTTGAATATCAATCCCATATAAACAATACAGGGTATTGACATACTACGATATCCATCTTAATGAGATTTGGTACACATCTATGCATCAGTGTGCATTTTCTGATATACAGGGTGTCCAATTAAGAATGCGAGTTATCTGGGAATTTATCCATCGTAGAGGCATGCGACAAAAAAGTTATCGCTAAAACGGTCAAGAGAAAAACCCGCGAAATATTTTCAAGGTTCTGACATGGCCGTTCGGGGCGTAACTGCAATTTTGAATATTAAAAAGTTGTGTTTCTGTGAATTCCACTATGTTAACCTAACAAAAAATTACTGGTCTCTAAAGTCCAGGATAATGTGAACATTTTTTGTGTGACAAGTTTTGCTGTATGACCAGAAATAAAGCGGTGGGGGGTACTCAAAGGTTTCCGTAAAAACACCCTGTACCTTCGAAAAGGCTGAGCCAATTTTAACAAACTTGAGCTAGTTGAAAAGAGTAATTCTTGGGCTACAAACTTTATAACATTTGAAGTTTTGTTAGTTTCAAATGTGGCCACTAAAGGTTTTTCGACATTCCGACAGATATGGTTAATTTTCTCAAAAAAAAAAAATAATAAATCCATTGGTATGATTTTTTTTGTTACTAAATGAAGCTAAATGATGCCTAAACAAGCTCACGAAAACCGCATCTCCATATCTTGTTCCTAACCTAAAATTAAACCCAAAGAAAATTTTGTTCAGAAATCTCTCAAACTATTTTTTTTATGATGACGGTCAGCATTTTCGAGCATTTACAAGGGCATTAAAAACCTTTATTTTTTAAATCGGTCCTTTTTATGGCCACGACTTGATAATAAAAAGAATTTTCAGAAAAAATAGTTCAAATTTAAGGGTTTTCCATATACAATTTTCTTAGGCCTAAATTTTAGGCCACATGTGAAACTAACAAAATTTCAAATATTTTAACATTTGTAGCACAAGAAAAGTTCTTGTCAAATAGCCCAAGTTTGTTGAAATCGGCGCAGCCGTTTCGAAGATACAGGGAGTTTTTTACTGAAACCTTTGAGCACCCCCCAACACTTTATTTTTAGAGGTACAGCAAAAATTATCAAACAAAAAACTTCACAGTATCCTGGACGTTAAAGATCAGGCATTTTTTAGATTCAAGATTGCAGTTACGCCGCCTAGCAGCCATTTCAGAAACTTCTCCTATGGTTCAGAATTTGTTTGTAGGAGGCCAAAACAATTCTTGTTTCCTGGTTGTCACCTAAGCCTTATTGACTATAAGGCAATATTAACGTCCCTACTAAACTGTAGCACAATGTACGTTAAAGATGAAGAAATTCCAAACCCATAGATTTATAAAAGAAAATGGCTGAGCCATTGACAAAAGACGAACAAGCTTACCGTTCCAAAATTTGAATTATTACCACGCTTGATTACAAATATTTTAGTAAAACTTGTTTAACGTTATACTTAGCAGTTTCTAATAAATTTGTTATTTACGGGAATAAATCATGATGGAAGGTGGCAATTTGAAATATCTGAAAATGGAATATTATTTTTTGAAACGAAAAAATAATAAGATATTTTTAGTCGAAGAATTCCTGATCCTTTTTATAAATAACAATAAAGTACATATTAGTATTTGGATATATAGTTTACCTTACTACTAATTAAGAGTATATAGTCGAAATCACGAGATGACGATTACGTCATCATTTTAGTCTGTAGTGAAGACAAACGACAGCGATTTCTGAATATATTTAATGAAGTTTCTGATATGCCAGACAGAGACAAACAGACAAATATTGTCTAAACAAACTGTATTGCTAATAATTCGACAAATATAGACGATGTTTTCATGTTGCATGCTCGATCATATTTGAAAGATGAATAGTTAGGTTATGTTAAAACAGGTTATGTTGTTGTCTTTGGTGTTATTGTCTTAAGGTATTCTATCATAACTGTTTTTTTCAAAACAGAAACTCGCCACTAAAATTATTATTAAGGTATCACTCAAAACCATGAAATAAAATGAAAATAAAAATAATCAGTGAAATAACTTCGCGAAATCGTAATATAAATTTGTTGTCATTATGTTTCTGACTCGTGATTTTATGATCGACGTACGTCCATTGATTACTTCAGTACAATTTATGGTATGACGTAATAGTCATCTTTCGTGATTTTGAGTATATATTTTCTTTGTAGGTAAGTGTGTAAGTACTGACTGTCCTAAGAAAGACGTCAAAGTGACAGCTTTTTGGAAAACGTCTTGTTGTCGTCATAAAAATGTCGTGAATAAAGACGTCATTTTTTAGTCAATGACGTTTCCGACCAGAAGTGACCGAAGAATGACGTCATTTTGCCGTCATCATGTTCACCAGGAATACATGTTTTTAGGTATATGATCTAATAAATTCAGTAATGACATCAAAATGTGTATCAGTTGTAAAATGTTCGAGGGGAAATTGAAAAAATATATCATGGAAAAACAAGAATTCAAGTAGTGGAATTTTGTATAAAAATATGTAGTCTTGAAGACATAATATATTATGTGATTACTGTGTAACATGGATATTATGGATATTGTAGCATTAATGCTAAATAAATCTGAAACAAACAACCAATAGTAATATCGTGATTATGGTTTGGGAATTGTGTAGAACAAAAAATACATTCATATTTTTTATGCATTCTCCAGTAGTAACACTGAACACTGCGACCTGAAAAGTCAACAATTTTACGAAACACTGACAATAGATCAAATATGAATCAGGAACGAGCTTGATCTGATATATACTAAGTGACATATAAATCCGAACACCCAGTTTAAATGGTTTTATTTTAATAAAATTTTGTATAAGTACTTAATGAAGCATAATAAGTAAATGATAAAAATTTCAAAATGATTGCACTGCTTTAAAGCCCTTTGATCTTTAATAATGTGTGGATGCACCCTGATGTGCTACGCATTCTCCAACGCGCCTAGGCATGCTTCTGATCAGGTGGTCGATGTCCTCCTGTGGTATCTCATTCCAGGCAACCACCAACTCCTCTCGAAGTGCTTCTAGAGTCTGAGGAGAACGTTGCAAATTGAGCAATCTCCTACCCATCATATCCCACACGTGCTCAATTGGGGATAAGTCGGGAGATCTTGGTGGCCATGGTAACAATGTGACATCATTATGTTGAAAGAAGTCTATTGTGACTCTTGCAACATGTGGTCGGGCATTATCTTGTTGGAAAGTTGGATCTGCCAGGGTGTCAAGATAGGGTAAAAGATGGGGTTCTAGCACTTCGTGGATATAACGCTGCGCGTTCATGTTACCTCTGATGAAGATTAAAGGTGACCTGGAACCATAAGCTATAGCACCCCAAACCATAACTTCAACAGTGTGATGAACATGTCTTTCAACAAAAAACTGTGGATTCCTCCTGTCACCGCGTCGCCTTCTAACCCTGGCACGACCATCGTGCATGCCTGAACAAAATCGAGACTCGTCACTAAAGACAATACTGTTCCATTCCTGATCCCAGAGTGACCGTTGTCTGCACCACTCAAGGCACCAGTGCCCCTTGCTCTTTGCGTACGGCCTTCTCGAAGCCATGCCTGACAACACCTAACCACAGTGTCTACACTTCTTTGCACTCTAACTGCAATTGCCCGAAAAGAAAGTCCAGCTTCCCGAAGTCCCACTATACGGCCCCTATCAAACTCACTAAGTTGCGAAATCGTACAGGTCTCCGTACTCTAGGCATCGTAACCGATCATAAAGGATGTCAAGTACCAAAATCCGTCAACGTTGATTCTTTACTGCGGCTGAAATATTCATTTTTAGAGCGTTGGTGAATTAAAAAAAAAGCAGTATAAAAACCGGAATGTCCAACTGATAAGGCTGAACATGTTTTCACTTGTTATTTACAGTAAGATAAATACATTCACCAACTTTTATTAAAATAAAACCATTTGAACTGGGTGTTCGGATTTATATGTCACTTAGTATATGTTCTCTTCCCCTTTTGTAAAAACTTTTTTGCCACAAGCCTCTACGATGGATAGGTTGCCAGATAGAGTACCTCGCATTCTTGGCCACTCTGTACAATTTTATCATTTCAACCAGTGGCGTCCGTACGGATTTCGCATTGAATATTTTTGGAGGAAAAATTGTACGCCCCTGCTTTCTTTTGAAATAAAAACCATTTTTGAAAGTGTTATTCATTTCTAACCAAATTGGATCTGTTGATTTTCTTTCGACCGACGCATGGTTTTCGCTTAAAAAAAAAATAAAAATCGTTTTACTTCATGGTCAGACCGCTGAAGACCTAATGTGACCGCTGTTCGGAAATCGACTTTTCTTCTATTTTAAGCTAATGAGTTCGTTTGATATCAAGACCGGTACATCCGATAAGAACAAAAAAAATCTTCATAAAATGGAGCCCCCTTAAATTTTGACATTACATTATGAATTCTTACCTTAGCCTGCCGGACTTTTAGCGAGTTCAACGATGCCCCTTTAAACGCGACCGGAGCCAGAAGAGTCGGAGGTATGCCGGCCAAATGTCCGGTAATGCTGACAGCACTCTTGCAGTTTATCAGAAAGTTATGCAGGCCAAGAACTTCCACTCCTTCTACCAGCACCAGGCTGCGTTCGCTGTTGTCTATCTCACATTCTTGTTTCTGGGTTAGCCTGTCCTGAAAACAGAAAAATCACGTCAAATCAAGAAAAATGCATTAAGCATAAATGTGCTGTGTGCAATTTCTGTTACCTGAGCATAGTTGATCTGCTTGATATCCTTCTCGTTCACCCCGAGACTCTTCAGCCATCCCTCCTCCACGGGATCATCTTCGTCATCTTCTCCAGCAACGTCCCCATTTTCGGTTTCCTGGGAATCCCACGTGTCGTACCCTTGATCACTGTTTCTCTTATTTTTCAACGGCATCGTGAACTCGATTTCTTCCTGTCTCAGCGACTCTCTAACCATATACAAAACAAATATCACGACAATGTTGACGAAAAGTTCAAAAAATTCAATTGCTTCCGTACAGTTCGACGGTGTCTCACAATATGCCAACTTCCTGGTGGACCGGAAAAACGTCCTATTTGCATGGAGAGGGTAAACCGAAAGAAATACGAGGTCGAGCCGAAAGACATTCATTGCGGGAAGTTAAAAATTAAAAAACATGCATTGAAAATTTTCCCAGATCAAAAATGGATGTTAAGGCATAGCCTCAAACTTTGCTAAAGAAACCTGACTTCCTCTGCTCACCCTGTATAAGTGGATGAATAAAAGAAATATACTGGTAGCTGTACGTGTTCCCAAAGAGTTGGTCAAGAGCCTCCCAAATACGGAAACTAAATTTTTTCAATTTGCAAAGCAACTGTCCACCATGGAGAATCCTGCCATCAGGTGACACTTATGTGCCATTAACCTCCAAAAACATTCTTGTTTTATAAGTAACCCTTCTTGAATACGAGGGATGTCTTTTAAGTTTTGCATATAGAAACATAGTAGGCCGCGCGGATCGAACGTCAGTACTGAATCTTAAACTCACTCTTTATTAAACTTAAATTCAAAGTTTCACAACGATACGTGCAGTGTTTTCACTACAGTGAATTTTTAAGTGTCACCAAGTCATTAGAAAAATGGAACTCAACCGAGAACATTTTCGCGCCATAATTTATTACAACTTTCAGAGACAATTATCGCAACAAGAATGCCTTGCTGAGTTACTGTCTGTTTTCGGCAACGAAGCGCCACATCAGTCGACAATTTCCCGTTGGTATGGAGAATTCACACGTGGACAGGTGACTCTTAGCGACGATCCCAGGGTGGGTGCACCAAAAACGGCAGTCACCCAGAAAAACGTCGATGCTGTGCGCAAACTCATTGAAGATAGACATGTGACATATCGCGAGATTGAGACGTCCTTGAAGATCTCAAAGACCTCAATTCAAAAAATTTTACATGAAGAATTAGGAGTAAGAAAATTAGTTTCTCGTTGGATACCCCACCTGTTGACTGAAGAGCAGAAAGCAGCCGGAGTTAATTGGTGTCAAAAAACGCTTGACTGGTTCAATTCCGGAAACTCAAAAAATGTGTACAGCATTGTTAGTGGTGATGAATCGTGGATTTACTGTTATGAACCAGAAAATAAACGACAGTCGACTGTTTGGGTGTTCCAAGGTGAAGAAAAGCCAACAAAAGTCATCTGTTCTCGAGGTGTTTTGAAAAAGGTGGTCGCGACATTTGGTTCATATTACATCAATTCCTCTTAATGAGCAAAGAACTGTTACTGCGGATTGGTATACCACCATTTGTTTGCCAAAAGTCATCACCGAGCTTCGAAAAATCAACCTCGAAAGAAGAATCATCCTCCACCAAGACAATGCAAGCTCGCACACAGCCCAAAAAACAAGGCAGTATTTAGCGGAAGAAAACGTGGAATTATTGGACCATCCTCCATATAGTCCCGATCTAAGCCCTAACGATTTCTTTACTTTCCCGAAAATTAAAAACAGACTGCGTGGTCAAAGGTTCCAGTCACCTGAAGAAGCAGTTGACGCATTCAAAAATGCCGTTTTGGATCTGTCAGCAAACGAGTGGAATAAGTGCTTCGAAAATTGGTTCGAGCACATGCAGATGTGTATTAATCTTCGTGGAGAATACTTCGAAAGACAATAAAGTCATTTAAAACTACCTACCGTGTTGTTTTATTTCCATATGCAAAACTTAAAAGACATCCCTTCAAATAATATATATAATATCATTTATCTATTTACCTGAATCCCCTAGTTGTTGGACAAATTAAAGCATGAACGTCAGTGAATCCACCGATTCCAGCGGAGCGAAACAGTACAGTAAAGTTGTTGGCGCAGGCATAAAAGTACGGGCACTGCCTAATACGAATCAATTGGAACAGAGACCTGTAACAAATTATATAGAGATATAAAAAAATCCATTATGATATTCAAGATCTGTCGCAAAGTAAACAGGAGTTTTGAAAAATATCAGTACGCTGTCTATTATCGGAGACTAACGCGGGATAGGTACACAAATTTCATGACAATCGAACCACTTCACACGGAGTTATCGCGCTCAAAGTAACAGTACCTTTTTAGCATCGGTCGAAAAATGAGCCAATATTAAGTTCGGTTTTGAAAATGAAATAAAAGAGGTACCATACACCAAATACCTTGGTGTGATAATAGATCAAAATCTTAAATGGAAGCAACATGTGCTTAGGTTAACTAACACTCTACGAAAACTAGAAAATTTTACATGATCAGAGAAATATTAAACAATCACTTATTAATCTGTGTCTATAAAGCCCTAGTGGAGTCATTACTCAGATACGGGATAATTGTCTCGGGAATTTTATGAGACAGCATAAAAACCTTTAAAAACTATCCAAAATTATATATTAAAAATAATTTTTAGAAAAAACAAAAGATATCCTACTTGTCATCTTTATAGTGAAAAAATACTTGCTGTTTGACCATTGTATATTTTAGAAGTCTGCTCCTTTATGTATAAAAATCCTTTAATAAGAGAATATGTTAGTCGTCCTTATTCAACCAGTAACAATGCTGATAGAAATCTAATAATACCCAATAGTTTCCCAAACATAAACTTAAGATCAATTGACTATATTGGCCCAAAAATCTACAATATTTTGCCTGCGACACTGAGGATGATAAATAAATTAAAATTATGTAGATCATTTGTTGTGGCAAACCTCGATAGCTCTTTGCTAGCTAAATATGCAAATGTTTTGATCATAGTTTCTATGTTTTTTTAGGAATTTGAATAATTATATATTATATTTTGTTTTATTCATTTTACTATTTTATTATTAAAATGTTACGTCACCCATTATTTAAGATTGGTGCATACAGATATTAAGTTATCTAGGTACCACATAAGAAAAACTATACATGTTTTAGTTTAGTGTAATATATAAAACCACTGTATACAGGGTTATCCAAATTAAGTGTCCACCATTGGTAACTTTGTTATTAGTAAAAATACAAAGTTGTTTAAATTAGCAAACTAGTAGCATTTTTAACGCTGGTAAAAATGAGAAATAAAAAAAAACAATTGAGAGTCGTTATTTTGATTTTTTTCAGTAAAATAACATTTTTTTAAATGGAAACCCCTGTATATTATATTTTTTTTGTTAAAGCATCAAATTTTAAACAAAAAAGTTCATAATGACTTTTCCGCTAAAGTCAAAAATAAAGTCAAAATAACGATAAATATTTTTAATTATTTGCAGTATTATAATATTAAGACGGCTTTGAAAACAACATGGCGTTCGCGATTTGACAGCATTAAGATAAGCGACAAATTGTTAAACTGGACATACTCGCAACTAGAAGGCTTTGGAAAACAATGATAAAATCAAATAATGTCAAACATTAGTGTAAATACTTGTTTATAAGCTTTATTGTGTCATTAATTTAAAGAAAAATGTTCTCCCATGAAGAAAAGTGTGATATGCTAGAATGCTATTTAGTGTGCAGAAAATCCTCCTTGAGAGCAAGAGAATACTACAGTGAATTATATCCCGCTCGCATTCAACCGTATGAACGATATTTTCTGAGACTTTATCGAAAATTTAGGGGCAACGAAAATGTTTTTGCTAAAACAAGGGCAAAAAAAGAATTCATAATAAGCGAGGCCACGGAAATTGCAGTTATTGGATATTTTGAAGCTTATCGTGAGAATTCAATAGCAGATATTCTCAAGGACTCTAATTTCAGTTATGGTACTGTTCAAAGGATTTTAAAAAAATACAAATTTATTCCGTATAAGTACCGACCAGTTCAAACGCTTTTGGCAGGGGATCCAGAGAGAAGACTTGTTTTTTGCCATTGGTATCTTAGCTTCTGTCGCCAAAATGTAAATAACTTTCGTTACCTTTTATGGACAGATGAATCAAATTTTTCAAATTCTGGAATGTTTAATAGAAAAAAACACCATTATTGGTCAAGAGAAAATCTTTTGTTAGTACATCCAAGAGGCCCACAAGTCCGTTTCAGTTTCAACGTTTGGTGCGGTATAATTGGTTCAAAAATTGTTGGCCCGTTCTTTTATGAGGGAACCCTAACTGGTGAAAGATATGTGGAATTTATGTCAGAAATTCTGACTAATTTCTTAGACGAATTGGATCTTATAAGTAGACATCATCTGCATTTTCAGCAAGATGGCGCACCTGCCCACAACTCCAGAGGTACTTATCATTTTCTAAGTACTAATTTTAATGATCAGTGGATAGGAACAAATGGCCCAATACAGTGGCCTCCCAGATCACCAGATCTAAACCCACTTGATTACTTCTTGTGGGGTTACTTAAAGAACCAAATTTACAAGCGAAGGTACGATAACCTTGACGCGTTAAAGACTGCAGTTAGGGAAAAGATAACCCAGATAGATGGTAGGACCATACTTAAGACAGTTCGAGCAGTTGAAAAACGTGCCCAAAAATGTATTGAAGAACAAGGTGGTGTTTTCGAGCATCTTCTTTAAAAAAAATTGTTATTGTATTTTGTAAGATTATAAGTTGATGTTGAAAATAAAGTTTGTCGATACAATTTAATTGTTTCAGATTGGAAGCCATAACTTCAACAATTTGTAACCTAGGAGAAAAGTTATTGTAAGCTTTTTTGTTTAAAATTTGATGCTTTAACAGAAAAAAATATAATATACAGGGGTTTCCATTTAAAAAAATGTTATTTTACTGAAAAAAATCAAAATAACGACTCTCAATTGTTTTTTTTTATTTCTCATTTTTACCAGCGTTAAAAATGCTACTAGTTTGCTAATTCAAACAACTTTGTATTTTCACTAATAACAAAGTTACTAATGGTGGACACTTAATTTGGATAACCCTGTATATAGCCATCACTTTGTAATATATTGTATTGTATTGATTTCCCTAAATAAAAAATTTGATACCTATATCACATGATGGATTTCCTTCATTAATTTTTATTGATTCACCAACAAACATTTCAAAAAACAGTATCGCATTTACAACCTAACCTTAGACATCAAATATTCGTCAGATTTGTCACTTTGATATTCATACCATTTTGAAACAAATATGAAATTTTGTATGATGCGATGCACAATTACACAAATATTATTATCATCACAATATAGACGTTATATCGACTTTGTATTTGGTCTTTTATACAACATACTATGACGTCAATTGGGTGTGACAAAGACGTCGTTTCTACGTCGTTTTTGTTGGTCGGCATACCGTAAAAATGTATACCAATGTATGCCATATTGAGCATCTGGTCTGTTGAACAAATATCTTACCTCATTCCATCTGAATATGCCTGCTGAAGGCTGTCTTTAATCTGAGCATTCATGACCATTACACTTGGTAAGCTTTTGCTCGAATGTCTTGGAAACAGTGTCAGCCACGGTAAACAGGGCTGTTGCCAATACAGACAACATTGGTGGAACTTGGCGTTTGGAGATGTGTCTAATGTTGTATCTGTGTTATTATCTAAAAGTAAAAAGATGAGTTATCAAACTGATCATGTTCTATTAAACAGTGATAAATAATAGTTTAAAAAAAAATAAAAAAACATGCTTTTATAGCTAACCGAACTAAAAAGAGTACTTTTGTCCATTACTGTATATACAGGGTGGCCAAACACGTGACGTCATAAAAAAAAATTAGATTCCCCACATCGAGAGGAACCCAAATCACCCCCATATATATGGTCCGATTTTGTTTAGTTTAGGAGTTATGATTTTTTTTCGGATTTTTCGAGAATTTTTGAGTTCTGTGTTTATTTTTACCATAACTTCGTTAATAATTGTGATAAATGCCTGCTTTTTTCACGATTATGTAGCTAAGACCTAAGGCTTAACTATCATATAATCATTCAAGTCATGTAACTAATACTACTTTTTAATTTTTCAGGCTCTGGTTAGGCCAACCAACAGAGGACACGTCATCACCACCGACCAGCCACGTCATCTACGGCACAGGACACGTCAGCCGTTCTGGTATAAATAACCCCGAAAGGCTAAGTCACCTGCAGACGAAATAAGAGGACATATCAGCCGAAACCTCGTGCTCTAAAAAATTGGGTATTCCGGGACTCTGCTTTGCATACTGATTTGGACTTTGTTTGATAAGAAGTTTGTGATGCATTATACGTTGCGTGAATATGCAGAAATGCATTATTATTATGGCGTTGCTCAAGGCAACGGCGCTTTAGCAGCTCAGCTGTACCGGGAACAACTTATACGCCGAGGCGGACCACAACCTGAGCATTACCCAGACCACCGTGTTTTTATTAACACACATAACACTTTCATGGCAGGCCGCATTCCAGGACGAGGAAGCAATGAAGGATATCCTACAGCTGATCCGGATCGCAGAGAAGTAGTACTTGAAGAAATTAGCCGGAATCCCTCAACGAGTACGAGATCTATGGCACAAAACCTTAGAATACCACGAACATCGATACAAAATATTCTTCATGAAGAAGGTTATCATGCCTATCATGTTCAAAGAGTTCAAGCGTTGATGCCTTCAGATTACCAGTTAAGAGTGGATTTCTGCGAGACAATGCTGCGAAGACAACGAGAGGATCCCGATTTTTTTGATAAAATTTTATGGACTGACGAGTCACGTTTTGAAAGAACAGGGATATTCAATATCCATAATTTACATACTTGGGCTGTTGAAAACCCCCACCAGTCAAGGCCGTCGACATTTCAACACCGTTTTAGTGTGAACATGTGGTCAGGAATATTCAATATGGAATTTATCGGTCCATTTGAACTGCCGTCAAGGTTGGATTCGGTAGCCTACAAAAGCTTCCTTGAAAATAGCCTACCATTATTGCTGGAAGATTCAAGCCTGGAAGCCAGACGGAACATGGTGTTCCAGAATGATGGTGCACCATGCCACAACGCAACGATCGCGCGAAACTACTTAAACGAAAGGTTCCCAGACAGATGGATCGGACGAAACGGACCGATACGATGGCCTCCACGCTCCCCTGACCTCAACCCCATTGATTTTTTTGTTTGGGGATATTTTAAAGACATAACATTCGCCCAAGAATGTGCAAATGAAAATTCATTGAGGAACAAAATTCAAGAAGCGACACATGTGTTGAAAAACAACACACAAGCATTTAGAGATTTAAAACAAAATTTCATACGTAGGTGTACACTGTGCATTTCTGTTAGAGGCAGACATTTTGAAAACCTCTTGTAAATAACATAAATGAATAATAATCTGCTGTTCAGTAAAAATCAAACGTGTTTTTGTGGTTTTTGCAAATTTATTTTCCGAAACTAACAATTTCTATTGAGCAGAGGGTTATCCAATTTTGGGTTCGGTTCTATTTGAGCCACAATTACGGTAGCATGTAGTAAAGCTAGGTTGATGAAATTTTTACGGTAAATAGCTGATACCGTAAGGAAGTTTTTAAGATACTTACGAATAGTAAGAACATGTTTTTTCAATTTTTTATAAACGTTCAAAGTTGTTGCACATTTTTAATTTTTTGTTATGTTCGAAGATTTTGACAAAAAATTAAAAAGTAGTATTAGTTACATGACTTGAATGATTATATGATAGTTAAGCCTTAGGTCTTAGCTACATAATCGTGAAAAAAGCAGGCATTTATCACAATTATTAACGAAGTTATGGTAAAAATAAACACAGAACTCAAAAATTCTCGAAAAATCCGAAAAAAAATCATAACTCCTAAACTAAACAAAATCGGACCATATATATGGGGATGATTTGGGTTCCTCTCGATGTGGAGAATCTAATTTTTTTTTATGACGTCACGTGTTTGGCCACCCTGTATATAGGAATCATTTCATAATCTAATCATTTCATTTAAAGCTTCACTGTTGCATGGGGTCTTTCCTGTTAACTTGGAGCCATAAAGTTCGTCAATCCAAATGCCATCTAAAGATCTTACATGACTAAGTGCTACATAAGCTTGTACAGCAGCAGTCACGTGCCTAGATAAATGACCGCATGATCGACTGTATAACCTTGCATCTTGTGGACAGTTGATGCCTAACTTAGGATTAATGGCAAGATTCGCAATGAACAAGGTGAGAATGCACTACCTTGAAAAAGTATCTGCTTCTGTTGTGCTGTGCTAAGTGCCACAACCAACAAAGAGTAAGTCCAAAACTGTATGCATGCGCAGATCGCGTGCTGTCCTGGCAATCCTAATAAGGATAATGGAAAACAGTTATCAAATTATTGCATTTTCGTCAGTCCTTGATATATGTGTGAAGTTTCAAGTTACTCAAACTTCTGAAAATTGGTGAAACTTGTGCTCAAAAATTCTGTTACAGAATACAGGTCAATCTTATGAAAACATTATATTACCTAAGCATCTAGTAAAAGCTGTTATTCCACTTGCCTCTTCACTGATCTTGAGCTTTTGGTTCCAGTGGAAAGGTTTCTCAGATAGCAATCGAACCCTGGATTTTAACGTCCAGTCTATGGGCAGCCAATTTTTACCTTTAGCTTTCACAATTTCAACTACTTCTTTTGGTTTTATATTTAGCTTATTCAAAATATTGTCGAACGAAGTTACAGATAGATTGCTTGGACTTTCTTGTGAATTATTTTGGTTTAATAACTTGAACAGTGTCTGATCAGTAGACTCGTCCAAAATTGGCGGTTCTGGCTTGGTCTTCTTAGTGCTGTTAGCTTTTAAAAAAGGATTTTTCCGCTTTCCCCCGGAAAAGACTTCGTCAAGTGCCGAACTGGATTTTGAAGGTTCGTTGGACGCATTGCCAGCAATCCGAGCTTGCAGTTTCTTCTTTTTCTGTTTCAATTTGTGTAACTTCATCACTTCGGAAGGATGGTGCCATTTTGAGGGTTCTGCTTTCAGACTTTCAGTCATTAAAATATAAAATAATCAGCACTTGTTTAAAAGAACATACACTACACAAAACATATATATGATTCGTTCATGCAACACATAAACATGAACTAATCAACTAATATCACAGACAAATCAGAAAAACCAAATATAAACCATAAACCAACGGTCAAATTTTTCTAGGTTAGGTTAGCCGTCAAATTGTCTTCAGTAAAAAGACAGTGATGCCAGTGTTGCCAGAGCAAAAATTCCTCCAAATCCTGAAATTAGTTGCGATGACAAAAAATTCTGCTACGGCCAACGAATTGAGACTAGGTGGAAGTAGCCAGTCAAGAATTTGTTTTTCTCCCCATTATCATAGTCTATAATGAGGAGTAAAGTGCACTTGGCATAGCTCAATTTCTTGGCAATTCTGTCATTAAATTCGTATGCTTCGTGATATTGTTCAAAAGTGCGAGTGTTTGTAGATAATAATGGTAGGTGATTCCACAAGTTAGTATTATTATTATGTTGATCCAATGCTGACACTTTGGTCGGCATTGGTAGACAAATGAGTCAAAAGTGCGCACAAAAACTACGCAAATTCGACGACATACAATGCAATGTAAGCATATAGGCTTGACTCCTAACCTATTCGAATTCGTTGGCTGCGACGAACTACAGTAAAGACGTAGCCAGCACCTCATTACATAATAATTATAGTCAACGCCAAACAAAGTGGCGTGCACGTCATCACGATAAAAATTCCCCGACCTAATGCCTAGGTTTCTATCACAAACAATTGCTCTATTGCAGTTTCATATTAATGTGATATATAAATTGTAAAATGGTCATTACTCTCTTATTATGGTTAATAGTCATATAAACATTGTTATTAAAATATCACATAAGTTGCTTTCTGATAAATTTAGACGCATTATGCGAAATAAAATGTTTTGCAAACGCTCCAATCACTTATCGACATGTAAACGCACTAAACCGATTTCGCAGCGTTGACACATTGTCACCTTGAAACTTATTTAAACTGGGAACTGACATTTGTATTAATTTTGACACTGAATCAATTTGTGGCATTTCAAATCTTTATAAATCCTTTGGCCCCGCATACTGTAAATCAACAACTGTTTGTTTTAAAACAAAATTATTCATTTTACGAATAGATAAAGGCAATTTTGGTATATAAAGATGCCCAAACAGTTAAATAGTCGGTGTAAGGAACTCGTGGCCTCGTTAATGCACTACTTTGAGCAAGAAAGGGACAACAACGGGCCTTTGTTGCCTTTAAAATTTTATTTCATTTTTTGTAGCGTGTTGCTGCTGCTTTAAAAATTAGTTTAAGGACAGTTAATCGTATTTCCGAGGGTGTGAAAAGTGATGCAAATTTAGAATCGCCCAAGAAAAAGCGGAGTTATATTAAACGTGTAACCAACACAGCGACATTGGTTACAAGTGCCATTCGAGAAGTGATCTATAATATGTATCACAAAAGTAAGATCTTATTATAATAACTTATCAGAAATTTGCATTAATTTGTTAACTAAATTATAATGTCATATTACACAAGGTTTCAGAAGAACAAGTTACGATACAAACTTTATGGTCTCGATTAAGAGATAGGGCATTATTTGATGGTAGTGCCACGTCTTTAAGGCGGTTGCTTAGAGATCTTGGATTTAAGTGGCTTAAGGACAATCCGCGACGAGGGCTCATGGAACTACCAAGTATAGCTTTGAAAAGGGTGGAATTTCTAAGGCAATACAATCAAGCCAAGGTTGAGGCCTTATACCAGTTTGTCTTCCTCGATGAAACTTGGATATTTCAAATTGGGACCATAGGTCGCTCTTGGCAAAATGGAAACCAAAAAAGCGTGAAAGCTATTAAAACAGATGGTAAAAGGTATGTACTTTCACACAATTTGCACTATAAAATTTAAAACTAATATATTTTAGATACATTATATTACATGCTGGAAATGAAAATGGGTTTATTGAGGGTAGTGAAGCGATATTTTCTTCGAAAACAAAATTGAGCGATTACCATGGAGAGATGAACCAGGACAATTTTTTGAAATGGTTTCAACATCAGTTATTAGAAAAATTGGAGAGTCCATCTATGATTATACTGGATAACGCCCCTTATCACAGCATGATATTGAACAAAGTGCCCAACAATGCATGGACAAAAAAAATATCCAAGACTGGTTGACAAATCAAAACATACCATTTTTAAACACAATGTTTAAAACAGAGCTATTGAGTATTGTTGCTCGGTACATAATGCTTCTTAATTATATATATTTTGGTCGACAGTTTATATTTCTTTTGTTTATTCCTATTCTTAAAATAACTGCTTTTTTAGAAACAAACCACCTAAAATATACGTGATTAATGAATTGGCGGAACAACATGGGCACAAAGTTCTTCGTCTGCCTCCTTACCATTGTATATTTAACCCTATTGAGTTAATTTGGGGCATAGCAAAAGGTTACTATAACAGACATATTGGTAGAGATGGTAACAGTGAAAAAGACTGTTTGGATATGTGGAACGAGGCTCTACAAACGGTTACCCCAGACATGTGGAAAAATAGTGTTCGACATACTGAGCAAGAAATTTTTAAATGGTATGAAAGAGAACGAATTTTTGATCGACCAGACATCGAACCTTTAATAATCAACTTTGAGAGTGATGAAGATTCAGATTCAGACAGCGCTGAAGAAAGAAACTCCGACTAACTTTATTGTACAGAAAAAGCTTACACCAGTAGCTTACCTAATTTTAGAATGCATTTTTCTGTATGAATTCTGTAAAATAAATACCATGCATAAAATTTGGAGGACCCCATTTGGATTTTTATTCAGTACCTTTAAGCTATCAATTAAATCTGGTAGTTTCATAGTGTCATCTGATCAATAATTGTCATACTTAATGATTATGCAAGTACAGATCCATAATTTTATTATACTATTATTTTTGTTCTCATTTGAGGTTAATATTGCTTATAAACCTAGATATGTAAATAATAAATTTTATTATTTTACAAAAAGTTTGGCAACAATGTAAATTTTTCAACACACCCACCTTGATGACGTGCACGCCACTTTGTTTGGCGTTGACATAGATACTTCCATTCTCTATTTTATATAATATGATGCTTTCAAAGTTTAGACATTCCCTTATATAGTGTATCGTGTAAAGACGGAAGTGTCAAGATAACTCGAGATCTTAGTGTCAAAAGGCGTTATCTACAATGTTTGTAGATCCATAAGCATAGCTGTGATAAATACGTATTATATCATATTACTTCCAAACTATACTTCGTTTGAATTAGTGATTGGAGTTACACATAAAGCAAATTTTGTATTTTTATTTATTAATGATATCGTATAATGCTGTCTATTGCTTAAAAATATAAATATAAAAATATTTGGTTATAGCAAAATTATAATTTGGCGTAATAAGACTTATGTACAACCATGGAAGGAGTGATGTCACTGATCCTGGCACAACCTGGAAGAAGAATTGTTATTTTTACAATTCTGGCAATATGAAAATCAAACTACAAGAAAACTAAAATCTGCAATTTAATTTAGGGGCCTTTTTCGAAGGAATCAGAGAACTGGATAGCCCAAATTCTTTAACAAATAAGTGAACCATTTATTCTTTGAAATTACTACGATGAAAAATATGTCCGTACCTGATATAGCAAGTGTGGATTCGAATTCTCTTTTCATAATATTCAATATCTTTTTAACGCCTGCCTCTCCTGCATAGGTGAGACCCCAAAGAGCTGGTCTACCCATAAACACCATTTTTGCGCCAAGTGCCAGCGCCTTGAACACATCTGTGCCTTGTGTCACGCCTCCATCGACATACACTTCCACTCTATCTCCTACAGCCTTTACGATTTCAGGGAGAGCCTCAATCTGGAATGAGATCGGTCGTAAATAAAAGTAGTAGACTCATACATCTCATCGCAGTGACATAACTATTTTAATTTTGAGTTCCAAATGAATCGAAATATTATAAAAAGACTATAGAAAAGACAGAGGGACAGGCAGACTGAAGTTAACTAATAATATGAGTTTTGGTGATTCACGTTAGTTAATTTCTCCAGTAATAACAAAGGATGCATGCAATAATAATAAAAAAGTCTTTCACAGAAGCTTATAAAATCAATAATTATCAGGTACCCTTGAAACTGTCTTAATTGACTTACAGATGCTGGCCAGGTGTCCACTTGTCTGCCGCCATGATTCGACACTATAATACCCGAAACTCCTGCGTCTGCAGCCATAATAGCATCTTCAAAATTCAGAATACCCTTTAGGATAATTGGCAATTTCGTGATGCTTTTCAACCATGCGATATCTTTCCACTCGATCGTCTGATCGAACAGAGAATTGACGTAGTCATTTAGGCTGGATCCGGCTTTAGATTTGTTGATGTCTGTTGATTTGGTGCCTTGAAAGTTTGCCAATCTGGGAAGAATATGTGTTAAAATCCGGATTAAGTGACAATAAGTACATTTGTCTAACGAAGTGCGATCCAATGGTACAATGCCTTTAGACGGATGTCACCTTATATCACTCAGGGGGGGGGGGGGGGTGTTAGGTGACGTAATCTGTCTGTAACTTTAAGAAAGGATAGCGGCAACACTGCCAACCCGCTCAGTGCGCATGCGACTACTCTCCAACCAACAGCAACGGTGTGCGCTTCTTGCTGGATGGAACAGGTATAGTCTAGTCTTTTATGGTCTCCTTATACTATAGTAAATTTACTCTAATACCTCAGTAAATACCACGAAACGTGGGCCGCCCTCGTATGTTAGCAATTATCGGACTTACTTCAAATGTGGCGGCAAAACGAACTTATTTCTTATATCTGCTAGTCGCAGTCCAAAGAATGGGGCATCTACTGTCAATACTAAAGCTCTAAATCCAGCATGTTCTGCTCTAGACACTAGCTGTCTGGTAACTTCTCTGCAAAAACATGTTTATACTAGATAGTTAAAAATCGTTGCCCTTTTCAACCAATAAAAACATTTCTACCTCCCCTACCTATCTCGATAGATGTACAACTGGAACCATTTAATGCCTCTTGGTGCAGCCTCGGCTACCTCCTCAATACTGCTTGTTGATATGGTGCTCAATATAAAAATAGTCCCCATATCCTGAGCAGCTGGAAATAAATTACAAAATGTTACATTTTTGGTTGATGAATTCCTTTTACTTTTTTATAAATGACTATAAAGTAGTTATTAGTATTTGGATATCTAGTTTACCTAAGTCAAATCCTGACTTTAATACAACCCACCATAAAACTCATTCATATAAAACCCGACACAAAGACAACTTGTACTCAAAGCAATATAGACTTGCTAAAACGAGAAATGGAGTTAACTACGATAACATAAAATTTTATAATACAGGGGTCCGCAAAGTTGGTGTTTTCTTTTACATGACGCTTAGATCTTAAGAAAATAAGCGAATTTTCTTGGTAGCATTTACACCAATGTCTTAAGAGTACCGAAATATTGGCTCCGCAAACTCCATCAAACCTGAACCAAACCGAAGCCGGTCCTGTCCGATCCCTCGATCACGTCCACCGCGGCAGCGCCAGCGTACAGTTATACGTCGTACAACTACGACGTAAATACGGATTTTACGACAGAGGCGTACTTGGAATTTCAATTCAACTGAACAGTGAGTACTTTTTGATTTATTTGTTTTACTTGTTCACTCACGTTTCACCAGATATTAGCTTCGTTATATCAAGCGCAGTTGCGTCTGAAAAGGAAAACCCCAACTTTGCGGACATCCTGTATATTTCCTAAGGAACTAAGATCTCCGGAATACAACTATTTCAGTAAAGCTGCGAAAAAATTGCTATTGGAACCATGTGTATATTAGTTGTTATAGTCTTATCTCTTATGCAATTTATTTATTGATTTTACGTATTTGCTTATAATTTTATCTTTTGTACTTTTTTTTTGTTACTCTTTTAACCATATACATGTGTGTATGATCTGTAATGTTTGTTTTTTATATGTATTGTTTGTCATTTTTTATTCTTGCCACTAAGTCTCAATTATAGTATTGACTTTTGTAAGCACGTTTTGTATAGCAACACCAATAAACCATTATGATTATTGTTACTGTTCATTAAAAGTTTATATATCTTTTGTAGGTGATTCAGTACTGACGTCAAAGTGACAGCCTTTTAAAGGACGTCATTTGTTAGTCAACGCCGTCTCTGACCAAAAGTGACCGAATAATGACGTCATTTTCGCGTCATCATATTCACAGGGTTGTCATATTTCGTAAATTAGATAGTCAAAACCAGCGCACGTTAGGCGTTAATAAATTTTGTTACATGAAATTATTATATTTACCTTTGGCATTGGCACATTCTCCATCGGGGTGCGCCATTCTTTGCATAGCTGTTGGTGATATACCTACGGGCATAGATACATGCTCTCCTTGTACCGTCACTGATATATCTGTTTCGGCGACGTTCCTCAAACATCTTGGTCGTATTCTATAACTAGAATGGAAAACTACGATAAAACTACCGCAGGGGTATCACGTATCTTAATAAGTGACTTTATGCCATTTTTATATGTTTTTTGGGACATTATTAATAAAAAAATCAGACTTCCGATAATGCCATCTCGGAAGCAGATGTTACACATTGACAGTTGAAGCATCATGAAGTTTAGGCAACACGTACAGCTACGGAACGAGTACACAAGTGTACAACAGCTAGTGCTACCTATATAATATATATAAACCTATATAATGTCCGAAAAAAACTGACATAATGTCATGTGGGATCAACAAATAAAAAATAACTTTGATGTGCTATATTTTGTACACGCATGCATACAATCAGCCTATTTATTCTTTAAACGATGTAGTACCAAGAACAAAAATCTCTCTATACACTAGGGGCCCAATCGGGGCAAATGTCTTTCTAAAATAATTCTAAACGAGTTTCCCAAAACTTCAAAATTGCTGGAACTTCTTAGGCTTTTATATCACAGATTTTCTGACAGAAGAATCGCTTAAATGCCATCACGAGATCAGCAAAAGGGAAAAGAGGTTTTGTAGGTATGGTTTATCTGAAGTCACTTGAAATAGCATAAAAACCTCTGGTCGGCGCGTCCTTTGTAATTTCATGACGTATCATAGGCGTGCGGTTATTTATTTAGAACGATAATAATAATGTTTTTATATCACAATAAATGGATTTTACTATCTTCTTATTTTTTTGATTTGGGATAAAAAATACTTATATTGGGAGTCTAATTTATGTTGTCTGAAAGTTAAGAAATGGAAAAATTACAGAATTCCAACGTTTGACATAGGCAAATATTTACATAGCAGGTAGGTATATAAAAAGGTATATAAAGACTTACATTATAGGTATTTATATATCATCCTCGCCTTCGGAGCTGTCGCTAGAGTCATCTTGTATAGGAATTACAACGGGATTTACAGGAGGCAAAACACAATATTCATTTTCTTTTTCAATAATATGCCTAGAACACTGCTTCCATAGGTCTGTGGCAGCAATATGAGATACTGCATCTCTTATTGTGGCCAATAGCGATTCACTTAATTGAGGGGTCTGATTATGTTTTCTTACTTTTTTTTTTAAAGCAGCCCAGACCAACTCAATCGGGTTAAAAATGCAGTAATAGAGAGGTAGACGTAATACTTCATGGCCATTTTGCTGAAGCAGATTGTCAACAACATACTCTTTTTCAAATTTTTGTCTTTTAATAAGATCCAATAATATGGCTTTGGTTGATTTTTGTGTGTTTCAAGTGACTTCAGATAAAGTATAGTACCATAAGTTTTTCATATCCGTAAGCACACTCCTAACAGGCCCCAGGATAAGTATATGTCGCCGTCACGAGGTCAGTTTGTTTAATCAAGTACTTCAAAATATCAGCGAATTTTTTTTCCGTAAAAGTGTGTTTGGATTGTTATTTGAAAAATACTCGAGGATCTTGTTGATTTTGATTCAATCCAGTTCAATCTGCATCGATATTTTGCACGTTGAAATGGACCATTTTTGCGTCTTTTGAAATTGAAATTTTACCAGATCTTCTTCACGTGTATAACAGACTTATCAAGAATGCTTTTTCAGAAAGAGCGAGAGGAACTACAAAATAAATTGTCTAGATAAAAAATTTAGGTTCTGCAAAGTATTACAAAAGTATTTGAGTATTTCTTATACGAGTTGATTATTATTCTGGAACCTGTCATGGAAGTGAATATACGTACATTGAAAATACGTAAAACTTACTTCGAATAAGCTCTTTTGTTGTTTGCCAATGTTTCTTGTTGCCCGGCACCGCTCCTGTAGTAGTCCAAAGCGTTCCTGGGCAATGTCTTGTAAGCAAACTCCTCGAAATCTTTGATGCAGATCGGCTCACCCATTTTTGTGTGCAAAATACACGATGAACTCTTGACGTTAACACTTCGACGTGAGCCTTAGCATCAGCGCTACGATATAACCTTTTTGACCAGTAGTTACCGAGACTCTGATAAGAGATATCTTCACGTGGACAGACGGCATAATCTATGATTCGGCATTGTGTTATCATTTGTTTCATACGACAGCGAAGTAGGTGATGGTTAGATTGGTATTTTGGTACTGATCGATGCATTTTCTTGACTATCGAATTTATTTATTTAGATCCACAGTAATTTATTTTGTAACATCATTCGATCAGATTACAGTGATATACAGGGTGACTTTGAAGTTGAGTCATTAATTTTCAGATAATGATTGTAGAAGGAAGATAAACCAAAATATGTGTGTAAAAAATAAAAATTAAAATTTTTTTTTTACCTTGTTTTATAAAGTATCCTCCCGACAAGTATTTCAGTGCGGACCTGTATTTGATCGTGAGGTCTTGGAGCACCGGCATGCAGTCCCCTGTGTGGTTTTGAGTCACCTGATTCACGAGCCCGTTGTACTACATTAACAAAGGCACGAGGGGTTGGTTGCACTCGATTGGGAAACCGATCCGCATAAACATGTGCCATTTTTTATTTCGTTTGAGCCACGCAACAGACACCACTATTCAAACGCGTTACCGACTGACACTGACTGTATACAACTGACTAAAATAATTGTAAAAACATCGTTCCAAATTCTTTCGCTTTTTTGTTTCCGATGCGATGAACCAAACACGAGCACATAATATTATTATTGAGACAGGGCGGTACTCAGACTTCCAAAGGGCTATAACTTTGTTACTTTAATTTTACCAGAAAAATGGTAAAGGAAAAAAACATTTCTTTTGATCAGATCTACTCACTGTTAAAATAAATGACTCAACTTCGAAGTCACCCTGTATATCCTTCGGACGGACTGAAAGTGTCCGTTCAATAGAACTGTCCGAATAAGAGAAATACAACAAAAATCGTGTTTTTAATGAACACCGAATGTACTAAAGAAACTGGGACATTAAAAACGTATATGCATACAAATGTTTTTAAAATAAAGAAAAAACTTTAAAATTGATAAAAAAAAGGTTTGTTACCTTTAGATATAGATATGTCTATACAAAGTATGTACATACTATAGTCGAATTCAAGAAAGATGACGATTACGTAATCATTTTAGTTTGTAGTAAAGACAAACGACAGCGATTTGTGAATATTTTCAATGAAGTTTCAGATATGTTAGAGACAAACATAATTTCATTGTCTAAACAAACTGTATTGCTAATTTGCATGTATCCGATAAAGATAGATGTTTTCATGTTGCATGATCGATCATATTTGAAAGGCGGATAGTTAGGTTATGTTAAAGCAGGTTAGGTTGTTTTCGAATAATACTTTGGTCTTTGGTGTTCCTGTCTCGAGGTATTCTACTCATAACTGTAGTTTTTTTTACAAAAACTCCCTACTAAAATTATTATTAAGGTATCACTCAAAACCATGAAATAAAATGAATATAAAAATAATCTGTGAAATAACCTAACTTCGCAAAATTATAATATAAGTTTGTTCTCATTATGTTCCTGACATCGTGATTTTATCATCGACGTACGTCCATTGATTACTTCAGTACAATTTTTGGGATGACGTAATAGTCATCTTTCGTGATTTTGACTATATGTATAATATAATATGTATGTACATACAGTAGCAGACGAAAGTTTGGAAACAAATGCAGCCAATAAAAATAAATACCCTGATGATGAAACCACGCAAGTTATCTAAACGTACCCAAACAAATTAACCTTGAACTGCCTTCATGAGGTATATTTAGGTTAATGCATTTTATCTTGCACGATAAGATTTAAAAGACTATTTCAAGTCCAAAAACAGACCCAAGATGCCGAGGTTCATTCAAACATTGGAACAGTTTGAGGTTTCTTAGCTGATTGCTTTACTTTGCAATATATCGACAGGTGGAAATTTGGTGCACTTTTTCATAATTTATTGAATTGATAACATTATTTATCTATTCAGGCAATAAAATGATACATTTTTATGTTACAAAAATCTCCATCATTTCAAAACATTAAAAACCTTCTAAATGAATTATTGGATGCATAATTATTTTTTTATAATCATGATGTTAGATTATATCATCCAGACTAGAGTATTTCGAATGATAAGAAATTATTGTAACTTGTTTGTTGGTTGAACAATATTTTGCAACTTATTTTTACATTATTTATGTTATCGGATTTACTGTCATCGATCCGCATATAGAAACATCAGACTTGCTACATCCCAAACTTCTGGGAACATAAATGTCGAATGAAGATAATTGTTTATACGAGGGTTGTCTCAAGAATAAGGTTTCCACATTGTTTTTCCGGCACAAGGAATTTTTTATTTGAAAAAATGTCACCATTGGAAACGTTGATCTTTAAGCTATTTTTCTACATAGTCGCCATTTTTATAGTCATAGTATATAGTCCTTGTTACTTAAGCCGTAAAGAATTGGAAATTGTTCAGTTATTTCGAGAAGTTTGTCAGTATTTGCCATTGCGGCAGCGAATAAAAACCGTGCAAGCAGCGAATTAAAATTTAGACGCTGTAATGTCGCACCGCTCCTGAAACAGACGCTTTGATCTGTTCTTGTTTATTTACTTCTGCGAGGGCAGTCTCTGAGCGACAATGTTGTCGAGAATAAAGCATCCCACAAACCGGCGCGAAATAATCGCGGCGAAGTATTCGCAACGAAATGCAGAGCGAAATTCGTAATCTGTTTAGCCTGTTTATTCATACCAAAGCGTCTTATTCGCTCCGCGAACGTGAAGGTTTCGACAGGTTGCGTACATTTTATTTTTGCCTTTTGCAATGAGCTCGTCTTCAGAAGAAGAGGAGGCACTTCTATTTCTTGCTTTAGAAGAGGAACAAAATGCACGGTAAATTATGTTTATTTAACGCCATTTGATAGTTGGGTATGTATTAAGTTTAACGAAGTACATAAAACAAATATTTTCAATTTTGTTTGGGAAACGAAGGAAGTGGGTACATGATATTAACTTGGAACGAAATAAATTTGGGGAATACCATACCTTGATGCCACAACTTCGGCTGGATGAACAGCGCTTTTACGTATATTTTAGAATGACTCCAGAGTGTTTCGATGAAATATTGAACTTGGTGAAAGATGAAATACGAAAATCTGACACAAATTATCGTGAAGCTATTTCGCCAGAAGAACGACTTGCTATTACACTCAGGTAAAAAAATTATATGTATTAAAATTAGTAGGCTTATCGAATAAGAATACTTCAGGGATCGTGGAATAAATATTTTATTGTAATAATTGGACTACATGTTGCCACTAGGATTAAATGTTGCTAAATAATTCGAGGCAGAATTTGCCTCCTCTGTTGGGTATATTATTGGAGTAAACCCTGTGCCGCTTGGGAAGGACGACATACTACTATCATACATACTTGCAGAATTCTGGGTAGACGCTGAAGACATTTCTTCAATATGTTCAAATTCTTCGTGCGCTATTAATTCGGCTATTTTTAGTTTTATTCGGGCTTGACGCTTTAAGGGAAGTGTTTTTACAGTCTGTGCATGTGCCAAGAAAAGTGAATCAATGGCCTCGTTCTCTTTTTTAGGTTTTTTACCTTCAAAATAATTAATGAGCTGTTGTACAGACGAAGATGGTGGTTCATAGCGTTTTCTGCTCGTTTTATATTTTGGTGTAGTTGCAGTCTGCGGAAAGGTGTGCCCTGGAGTAGTCACTGCTGTAGTGTTCAATGAAGAAGGTGGTGCTGTCTGTGTTGCCGAGGCGTTCTGTGCATCTTCTGCATCTACATCAGCATTTTCATCTTCTCCATGGCCGCGGTCTTCCAAATTTTCGGTTTCTACATTTCCAGCCCTTTCCTGATATATATTTGAGTTAAATTCGGCAGTCTCATAACGTATGACGTCAATATCTTTCATATTAGACGACGTTTTGGCAAATGCCAAAAAAGGACGGAAAAATTCCATGTAGTCAGCCCACTGCCATTTCTTTATGTTGCCCACTGCTTGGCCGGTCTTTGGTTTGGTAGATTTTATATATTTTGCAAATGTGTCTCTGATATTCTTCCACCTTTTTTTTACTTCATCACCTAAAAACGATTTTTTTTATAGATTCCTTGCCACTGGTGACACCTTCTATACCATTGGGCATAGCTTTCGAGTTGGCTTTACAACAGTGAGTGCAATCGTAACCGAAGTCTGTGAAGCGATATGCAGACATATGGAGCATATACAGGGTGACTTTGAAGTTGAGTCATTAATTTTCAGATAATGATTGTAGAAGGAAGATAAACCAGAATATGTGTGTAAAAATAAAAAAAAAGTAAAAAAAAATTTTTACCTTGTTTTATAAAGTATCCTCCCGACAAGTATTTCAGTGCGGACCTGTATTTGATCGTGAGGTCCCCTGTGAGGTCTTAAGTCACCTGATTCACGAGCCCGTTGTACTACATTAACAAAGGCACGAGGGGTTGGTTGCACTCGATTTCGAAACCGATCCGCATAAACATGTGCCATTTTTTATTTCGTTTGAGCCACGCAACAGAAACTATTCACACGCTAACCGACAGACACTGAATGTATGTATAACTGAACTGAATAAAATACTTAATTACAAAAACATCGTTCCAAATTCTTTCGCTTTTTTGTTTCCGATGCGATGAACCGGTAAGGCGGATTATATCCGTTGTTGCCAAACACGAGTACATGATATTATTATTGAGACAGGGCGGTACTCAAACTTCCAAAGGGCTATAACTTTGTTACTTTAATTTTACCAGAAAAATGGTAAAGGAAAAAAACATTTCCTTTGATCAGATCTACTCACTATTAAAATAAATGACTCAACTTCGAAGTCACCCTGTATATTTACCAGAACCAACAGAGAATATATGGAAAAAATGTGCTGATGAAGAATTTGAAAATAGATGGGGATTTCCCAATTGCATTGGCAGCGTGGACGGTAAACATGTAACAATCAAGAGACCTAACAACGGTGGCTCCAATTACTGGTGCTATTTACATAAATATTCAATAGTACTTATGGCCATTGTTGGCCCGGACTATAAATTTATATGTGTTGATATTGGTGGTTTCGGAAAAAATAGTGATGGGGGTATTTTCGAAACCTCAAACATGGGAAAACGATTTGAACAAAATTTAATGAGTGTCCCT